ATTTTTAATTTTGTTCCTTTGCCTTGGTTTTTATCGATGTGAACAAACTGCTCGAGAGAAACAAGCGTTTCCTTTAGTGTAGCCACAAATGCCTTGACTCTGCTGTTGATGGTCTCCAGAAAATGCTGTAGAAACTGCCTTAACTGTGACATGCCAACTTTCTGTTTCTGTTCGTTTTTGCCCTTACTAAGGTAGCTCATGAGTTGTCTATCTGTATATGTTGGTTTGAGTAATTATGTTATTTATTCGTTATTTATTTATATTAATTATGAAGATTGATATTATTTGATTGCAGATATTCTAATGCGCTTTTTTGTCTCCCCGCCTGCCATTTCACTGTGCGTTTTAGAAGATCTTTTTTTCTTAAGAGATCTGCTAAAAAGGTTTTAACTTTTATACCTAGAATAACACATGATCTTAACCATTTTATCCCGTGCAACCAACAGCTCTTACTTTTAGATGCAATCTCTTTTTCTACACACATTATTTTCTTAACTGTTAGCTATTTATAGAGTGCTTCGATAGAACTGTTTCAACTGTATAATTATTTACTATTCAAATAAAATATTTTCAAATTCAAGCGTGCCCCCACCCCTTCCTTCTTCTTTATCCCTGGGGGCCGGGGTGGGGGGCTGGCACCCCAGTGGCTCGGCACTGCAGCTGGCAGGGTGCCTCCATAGGCACCAGCCTGCTCTGCGCCGTTTGGTGAGATTAATTAAAAAGGAATTAAAGGGAGGAGGAGAAGAGCGAGGTGCGGCGTGGCTGCTCGGGGGGAAGGCTGTCCCATGAGCACGGCGGTCCCCTGGCCGGCCCCGGGGGCAGCTGCCAGGGACCTTCCCTGGAAGGTGTTGCGGGGCAAGCCCGAGGAGAGGGAGCAGCTGTAAGCGCAGAACTTGCAGAAATCCCTGCCTGGGAGGGCTGTGCCGTTTGCTGGGCGGCTGCTGCGTGTGCCCGGCGCTCGGCAGAGCAGGGCATCCTACAGAGCCTGGCACAAGCAAGGCCAGGCATTGCTCTGCTTCCTGGCAGGGCTCCTGCCTGCTCCTTGTGCCCTGCAGTCGGGTTTCTGCAGCATCCTCCGGTAGCTGTACCTACGGATGTATACATAACCGTGCAGCCAGGTCTCTCTGCAGGGCTTGTGTTTGTACGTGGGAATCTGCCGGGTTTGGTCAGAACTGTTGTAAAAAATCTGTGTAAAGGGGGAAGGTGCGTGCTGGGTCTGTGAAACCCGTCTCACGGACAGGTGTTGTGTGCACCTGTACGATCTCCCCCTTTGCCAGCAGGAGCAGGTACAGAGCCAACCTCACTGCATGCAAATCTGCTTGGCAGCCCCAAGAGCAAGTCCCTGCTCCCAAACTGGTGAATGCGAGGGCTTGGTGTGGGCACGGGGGCTGCTCTGTCTTGGGGTAGCAGTGCTTTTTGGCTGCCTGGAAGAGGTTTCCAGCCTCTTCCTGACATCTTTTCTCACCTAAAGGCTGATTTACTGTGGGAAAGGCAGGTGGTGGAGCTTCCTGGAGGAAAGTTTCCCAGGAACTGGCTGATTATTTTATGATAAAGCAAAGGTTGTAGATAAAGAACATCTTTCTAGAGAGAGATTTATTTGCTTTTTGGGTTTTTTTTTTTCCTTGTTCAGTCAGGCTGAACAGTACCGGTGTATGGGTACGTTTCTGCTCTCTTGATTCCTAGGAAACCAACTTGGTAGTTCCAGGGCTGACTGCAGACCTAGGCAAAGCTGTGGTTTTAGCTGTAAATCAATACACTGGAAAAGAGCATAGCCCGAGAGACACAGGCAGCAAAGCCTGCCTGGCAAGAGGTGCAGTTTTGCCTTTCCTGGCTTCCCTGGCCCTGGAAAGCCCCAGCTCCTGGGCTGTCGCAGACGGTGTGGCAGCTGTCCGTGGAGCGGGCTCGCTGCTCCCCGAGGGGACTTTGCCAACACACACGGCCGTCCTCTCGGGCCACTGGACACCATTTCCAGAGCGATGCCCGGCACATCCTCCAGACAAGCCTAATGGCTCCATCCACGCTGTCACAGCAGCGTCCCTGCTGAAATCCATGCTCAAAGCCTGTGGCACCCACAGGCCGCAAAACAACAGCTTCGTACCGCTGTCCATTTCCTAACAGTCGAGTAAAACCGTGTCTGTCCTGCTAAGAATCAGTGGGAATTTTTGAAGGCCAGAATTCCCCAGGCGTTTTGAGCTGTGTGGGTAACCATCGGCACGGATGTGTTGCATCTGCTGAGCAGAAAAGGTGATTAGTGGAGACCTGTACTGGGGAGGAGTAAGGAGAGGTGGCAGTGGAGTACACTGGAACTGGCTCTGTTCACAGACATCCTGTCAAAGGGGCGTCATTTTCTTTCTTTTGGCATCCCCGGGCCGCAGCAGCCTGGGCAGAGCTGCTGTGCCTTTGTGTCTGCTGCTTTTCTCCTCCCCTGGTCTGCACTGCAGGGCCCTTGTCAGGATGAGCTCCCAACTGCCCGAGGGGTTTCTGGAGAGGTTCCTTGTGAGGGTGAGCCCCGAGTGCCCGAGGGGTTTTACAGGGAGCCATTGGCATCACCCCCGATGGTTTTCCATCTCTTTCCAGCTGGCAGTGAAGGGCATTGCACTGCCTGCCAGGTCACAGAGCTTCCCACTCACACCAGCATCCTTCGGGGACAGTATTTTGGGGATGATCAGTCCCTGTCCCTCTCCAGTCCCTGCCTGGCACCGGCTCTCTGCTCTGTATCTGTGAAGTGCCCAGCCCCCGTGTGGCTCGGTGGCTGGCCCAGGAGAGCTCCCGTGGCAGCCCCTGGGAATGCAGGTGTTGCCTGGTGGGTGCCACGTCCTGGCAGCACGGGCGGCCAGCGCTGTGCAAACAAAGCCTCCTGCTGTCAGCTAACAAAGCCCCTGCTGCTGGCTCCCGGTGCATGCAGCACCAACAGCTTGGGGCACCACGGAGGGCTCGGATCCTGCCCCAGACGTGACGCGGTGCAGGCAGCTGGCACAGAGGCTGCTCACGCCCTGTGCCTTCGGGCACAGGGGTTTGCTGTGCCGGAGCCTTCCTCCTCCCTGAGCACACCGAGAGCAAATGTGCACTCTGGGAACGGAGCTGGGAGAGATAGAGGAAAGATAGAGGAACCTGCAGGGTCCTGAGAACTGCAGCAGGGACACCATCCCTGCCCCGTGGGCTCAGAGCTGGGCCAAGCTGCTCTGGAGGCTGCTTGTCGCCAGGGAAGGTTTTTGCAAGGTTTGGTACCAACACAAGCCTGTTTAAAAAGAGGCGTTGCTGTTGATGAGCTGGGAAATGGCTCATGGAGTCACAGGTATTTCTGTGGGGCCTGCAGAGTGCCAGCACACCTCCAGCCCCATTGCTCCCGGGTCAGGAGTGCTGGCTTGTGGTGAGTGTTTTGGGCTGGGAGGAACAGCAGTTCCCTGGAGCACCCAGGCAGCTCCCCTTGGTGAAGGATCCGGGTGTGCAGGTGCATCCTGCACGTGGCGTTAAACACCTCAGACCCTTCCATTTACAGTCCACGTTACAAAGGCCCGTCTGTGGCAACGTTTGATGCATGAATCGCTGAGCTGGGACCTGCCAGGCTTGGGCTGTCCTGCGGTACCGGCTCCACAGCCAGGCTGGGTTCTCTCCTGTGCCGATGTCTCCAGGTTCTGGGCTGCTCTGACCGTGCTGGGCTGCTCTGACCGTGCTGGGCTGCTCTGACCGTGCTGTTCTCTCCCCGCAGGCATCCAGGGAGCGGCGCTGGGCAGAGCCGGGCACGGTGGAGGCAGGAGGAGCCCCAGCCCGGCACAGGGACCCTCCTAGGAGCACATCCTCCCATCCGGGAACGGGGACAGCACTGCAGCAGGCAGGTGCACTCAAACCTCCCCTTCCATCCTCCTGAGAAGAAACCCCCTCTCTGTAAGCTCCAATAAAGCCCCCTCGCAGCTCTGACAGCCCAGTCCTTTCCCAGCTCTGGTGCTCTGCTGAGGCTTCTCAGCCTTCCTTGGGGAGTGGGGAGGGTTTCAGCAGAGCAAAGGCTCTGCGTGGGGACAGCAGCATGGCTCAGCTGCAGCTTAAAACACGGTCTGCTTTCTCAGGGTATGGGACCACGGGGTTTTTATTGGCTCATTTTACAGTTTTTTAGAGGGAAATTGCCTGTAGTGCAGCACCGGTTCAATGAGTAATTTGAGGAAAATGATGTTACAGTTGGGGGTGTCTGAGGTAGGAGGTTTTGGTTTAGTCACACACAGCAGAAAATCAGAATTTTTTACATCCAGCAAATGGTATTTTGTATTTGCTCCTGGATCCCTGAAGTGTCCAAGGCCAGGTTGGATGGGATTTGGAGCAACGTGGGATAGTGGAAGGTGCCCGTGCCCATGGCAGGGGGCTGGAATGAGATGAGCTTTACCCAAACTAATCTAGGATTCTGTGATAAAACAAATGTAAAAAATACATTCCTTTCACAGCAGTATATTCTATATAGCTGATCTATATAAGTAGACTTCAGAATATGTAGGTAGTGTATAATATATTACATGTGTTATATCAAAGCATATTCTATTATACAGTAGGTGCTAGTATATGTCTGTTATATATTACCATATATATATATAAAATATACATTAAATGTATGATCTACAGTATATAATATCATCTGTGCATTATATATAATTACTGATACATGACCAATGTTGATATAATGGAACACTTGTCTGACAGCCAGGATTTGGGTGCTGTGGAGAGTGCACAGAGTGTAGGTGCTCGTGTGTGTGCACACCTGGC